GGAATGTCTCACCACTCTGGAGCCTCTGCCTCCATCGAGCCTAGAAAAGCCCACACCTGGGACGAAGAGACGCAGTTTATTAGTGTCTCTGCTCAAGCAGTCAGGTGTAGGTGCTTGGCCCACATTCATCAAAGGCTGAAACAAGTTTTTTCCTTTATCCATCTGTTGGGGTTTATTCTCGATTCATCAGGAGATAGGGATATGAGGCAGATATTTTTATGGCCTTCCCCCTCATACTTTTCTTTTCTGACCATAGTTCACCAGGACTTGGTCAACAGCACCGAATGAAATAGGCTTATTGAAACAAGAGGCACAAATCAGCTTGCACATCTTCCCAGCTCTTACTCATCCATACAGCAAAGAAATTTGCTGTAAGACAGCTTCTACCTATCTCCCCATATGTGATGGAAACACAAGCCACTGTCTCAGGGCCAGCAGAAGCAAGAGGGAGCCTTCCTCAAGCCATTGATACCTCAACCTGCAGCAGCAGAAACAGAGCCTTTCTTGAGCGACAGATAGCCCAACCACAGGATTCAAACATGAGGTAGCGTATTCTAGCCATGCACAGTTTCTAGGACATGCACCTCCATCCTCACTATAGCCAATGACCTGCACATGGATGTCTGACAGTTAAATGGCCTTACTGATTGCATGTAAGAAGCTGTACTTGTATTTAAGTAGCTTGGGTGAGCACAGTATAGAGTCAAGCTGCCAAGAACTGCTGTCTTGAAAGCTCCTGGCAGTAGGGTGATACAGCCGAGGAGGCTGGAGAACGCAATTTTCCCCCTCCCCTCTCCCAAAGCAGGTGCAGATAATACCATACCTCCAGAAAATGAGGTGACCTTGGGATGCCATGGTCACAGCGCATATGAAGACCAGCGGAACACTAGATTCCCGAAGGTTTCACACTGTTCGGCACAGCCCCTGTCCTTCTCATGGTATATTCTCCCAGGCAGTCCTGCTTAAATAACCGAACTCAGCTAAGGAGTGGTAAGTCCAAGTACTGAACTCTCAGGAATGAGGAAGCAGTGAGCATCTCAGCTCCCCCCACCAAAAGCAGGGAGCTCTGGTTAGTCACTGGGCAAAAGGAGAGACTTTCTACACCATCTATTAAAGAACAATATCACATTTAAAACAAAAAATAACACAGCTCACGGCTTGGTAGCCAGCTAATCCTGGAGTCAGAGTTCAGCAGTCTCTCGCAGCTTACCCATCACTGATGGGTTGCGTCATATCCAGGACTAGCTCAGGTCTCCTTGCCAAAATCTCAAATTATGCTGTTGGCACTGGGCAGAGAGGTCCCATCTGCAAGGTCCCCTCCTTGACTCCATTTGCAATGTGCATCTTCTCCTTTCCTGTCCACGTGGTCAACAGCTCAATGTCCATGTGGAGACCAGTGAAAAGTGGAGTTCCTCAGGGGTCTGTTCTGGGCCCAGTGCTGTTCAACATCTTTGTCAGTGACACGAGTGACGGCACTGAGTGCACCCTCAGTAAGTTTGCCGACGACACTGAGCTGCGTGGTGCCGTGGACTCACTTGAGGGAAGAGATGCCATCCAGAGGGACCTTGACAGGCTTGAGAAGTGGGCCAGTGCAAACTGCATGAGCTTCAACAAGTCAAAGTGCAAGGACCTGCTCCTGGGTTGGACTAATCCCAGGCCCAAATACAAACTGGGCACAGAGTGGGTTGAAAGTAGCCCTGAAGAGAAGGATTTAGGGGTGTTGATAGATGAGAAGCTCAACATGAGCCAGCAGTGCGCTCATGCAGCCCAGAAGGCCAACCGCATCCTGGTATGTATCAAGAGGAGTGTGGCCAGCAGATCAAGAGAGGTGATTTTCTCCTTTACCCTGCTCTTGTGAGACCCCACCTCAAATACTGCATCCAGTTCTGGTGTCCCCACCGTAGGAGGGACATAGATCTGTTCTAATGAGTTCAGAGGAGGGCCACAAAGATGATCCAGAGTCTGGAGCACCTCTGTTATGAAGATAGGTTAAGGAAACTGGGATTGTTCAGCCTTGAAAAGAGAAGACACCAGTGAGACCTGATAACTGCCTTCCAATACCTGAGGGGAACCTACAGGAAGGCTGGGGAGGGACTTTTTACAAAAGCATCCACCAATAAGACAAAGGGAAATGGATTTAAGTTAAAGGAAAACAGATTTAGATTGGATCTTAGGAAAAAATTCTTCAGCATGAGGGTGACAAGACTCTGGAACAAACTGTCCCAAGAAGTTGCGGATGACCCCTCCCTTGAGGTGTTCAAGGACAGGTTGGATGAGGCCTTGAGCAACCTGACCTAGTTGAGAGGCGTCCCTGCCCATGGCAGGGAGATTGTATTAGATGATCTCTCAGGTCCCTTCCAACCTAGGCCATTCTATGATTCTCTGTATTGTACCAAGATGCTCTCCAGGCTCAGGCACATAGGTTCGGCAGTGGCCTCCTTCCTGATTGCTGTTTTCTTCCACTGAACTCCTCCAGACCTATTTCTGCTCTCCCAGGCCAGCACCTGCTGCTCTTAGATCTGCCATTATAGTGGACATTAAAACATATGAAGGAAAGAAACCGGCACAGACCCTGCAAGCCTTTCCCTCTGTGCTTGGTTTCACTCGAGCCTGGGAGCAGGATGAGTAGCTCTTGGGCATAAGATGTTGAGAAGGGCAGGGAGATTGCGAAGGAGCAGAAAGGGAAGCCAGCTTGCACGACCCCAAACGGGAACCTGTGTATCCTGTCATCTCTGTCTGGACTGTGTTCCATAGAGGATGGGAGAAGGGGAATTCTTGACAGTCCATAGTCATCTCCAGCAAGTTTGGATGTTTGGTGAGAGTGACCAGGTTTCCCATGCAGAGCTGAGGGTGTACAGAGGAATTGAGAATAGTCCAGCACCTAAAAAAAAAAAAGTACTTTTTCTGCAACAACCAGAAGGTAAAATCAAGACTGATTAATGCTGATCAGTGACCAAACTAGCTGCAAAGGCTTAGTAAGATTCAGAAGGGCTTATGATGCCATGAGGAGCACTGCAGCCTTCTAACTGTGTAAGTGTGCAATTTCGGAAGTTTACGCTTAGTCTTTTGGACTACAGTTCAGCTGCAAAATAGCCTGTTCACTTCTACAGTGGATGAATATAGCCAGATGTGTTGAGTGACAGACTTCTAGACAGCAGAGAGGGGGCTGGAAGGTGAAACTACGTCAGCAAACTCTATTCCAAGGCATTTAACACCCAGGACTCACCATTTTCAGCCTCCTCATGCCAGGATGAAATTACATGTTACAACTTGTGTTGAACCTCCTCCCACGTCCCACCACTTTGCACTGATGAGAGCACAGATCTGAACCTCCAGTAAGCCTACTCACCTGTTAGGAAACAAAGTACAATTAGAAAGCAAATGGTTTCCTGTCAGGTTAGGGAGTTGAATTCATTCCCCATGTGGTCTGAGGAGTGTCACACCCAGTGATACTTCTGGTGGGGCAGAAGTTTACTCTTAGAATCATCGCAGAATCAGAGAATGGTTTGAGTTGGAAGGGATCTTAAAGATTATGTAGTTCCAGCCCCCCTGCTGTGGGCAGGGACACCTCCCACTAAACCAGGTTGCTTAAAGCCCCATCCAGCCTGGCCTTGAACACTTGCAGGGAGGAGGCTATCCAGCTGTCCTACTTCAGTGTGAGTGCTTAACTGCAAAGTTAATTGGTCTCCACACAGAGGACAAGGTCTATGGCAGAGGTGTGAACAGGACGTATTGATAATACTTCAATTTTGGATGTTACTGAAAGCACATCCTTCATCCTCTGGCCTCTGAATGAAACTGAGGAGTGGAAATCTTCCACCTGAGAATCACTGTCGCTCTCAGGTTGCTGTAAGGGTTTACACCTCTACAGCAGACTTCATGTGGTTTTCACTTCCCCTCTGCTTTAGCATGGAATAGCCCTTTTTAATCTGAAAAAAAAAGAATTCTTATTTACTTTGTAGTATTCTACTGATTACTAAATCTCTCATAATCCAGCAGAGCATTACTAGAAGCTAAGAACAGCTCCAGGCCACAGCGGCCTCGCGGGAAATGCACATTAAGAAATATCCTGTTGCCCTCAATGACACTTGATTTATGGCCACCTTTGGTGCAGTGCACAGACGAGGTATCCCCTTTCAGCAACACTTAACTCTGGGTTGTAGCCACAGCACACCTCATCGCAGTCAACAATCAGGTTACTTCCACGTTGGAAAAACAGGTCTGTTTCTCAGGCACAGGCAGCCCTGGTAGGACCAGGACAAGTTCCACTCACCAAGGCAACACCACATTAATTACTGAGCAGCTCTCACGCTGGAGCCTACTCCTCTCTATATGTTTGTACTAAAAAAACCCCAAGAGGTATTCAGAATATTTCTGAAAGAAATGAAGGATCTGTGACCATGTTTCTTTCTTCATGAATAATAATTATGCCAGAAGAGTTCCCTCACTTACAGAAAGTTCACACTTTACTTCAATGTCTCTGGAATACTGGAGGAGCTATCAGTGAAGGAGGAAAACCAGGAGAAGATGGAGTTGTGGGAAGTTAACAAGCAGCCAAGTTCAGCAGAGCACTCAAGAGCACCAGCAGGCTGAAAAAGATGAAAACTATCTTGGGGATTTGGCCAAAAATATTGGACATCTTTCCAGCCTTGTGATCCCACATCTGTAACAACGGTGTTAAGAAATGCTTGAGAAGCACCAGAAATGAGAATACTAGTGATCTGGAAGTTGGAGAATTTGGCACTGCCCTATAAGATTTACCTGTCCTTGGCCTCACCTGCCCTTGAAGGCAAACTTTAAGCAGCAGCACTCAGAGCAAGCCCTCATCTCTCAAAAACAGGGAGGTGGTGAGCCACCCATGGCTGGAAACAGACAAAGTCCTCTATACCACCTGAAAGCCAGTGCCAGGGTCTGTCTTGAGATGACATTGCAGATGGTCAGTGCACCCTTGTGAATCACTTTCTGCTATGGGAAGGCCAAGAAGCCCTACTGAGCCAACTTCTGCACTGTGATCTTCTGGGGACAAACTAGACACTCATGCACAGAGCTACAAGCACAGTCATGTCACCAGTGTGGTTTGCCTCCTCTGAGAAGGGGTGCATCTAGAGGCACCCTACATGGAGTCTTTCAGGCTGCTGGGCCCCTTCCAGCTTGTCTACAGTCTCCTGATCTTGCTTTGTTTTTCCTTCCAGCTACGCTCTTTTTTCCGTATCTAGAGAGTGAGTCCTCCTTCGCTTGTCTCCCAAAGCCCCTCCTCATGTTCATCCCCATTTTTTTTTTGTTTCCAAACTTTGGAGACTATTTTATTAGCAAGAGCTTTTGTCCTGGGAAAAATATCTATATTTACCAGGGCAGTTCTGTCAGCACTGCATGTATGTCTGTCTTGAAAATACCTTTGTTGTCTCAAGGACCAGCTGGTCAGAAATATCATCACGTAGCCCAGCAGACTGACTACATGTCCTAATCCACCTCCTGCCCGAGGCTGTTTACCAACAGAGCACTGGAAGCCATTTCTGGGAATGACTGTTTGGGTCCAATGTAAGACTCCAGAAGATCAGTAGGATATACTAATTTGGCAAAGCATTCAGAGTAATGAACACTGAGGACAAAGTCTGCTTCCAAATAATGGGAGGACACTTGCACCTAACGCCCACAAAGTGACTAAGGCATTAAATGTCTTTTCTGCACAAGACTCTTCAAGCTATCCTCATGCACAGCCCTCTTTGTTCAAACAGAGTGGTAGCTGGTCAGTATTTTATAATCCCTGGGACTGACTGAGCCTTCAGGTCTAACAAAAAGAAAAAAATCAGTACAAGGGCCTGATTCTGACAGGATTAGTACCCCGTGCTGTCTGAAGACTGCCCTTCTCATGTCAAACTTAGAGCTCAGCCCAAGCCAACTTCTGTTCCCTGATGTTTGCTAATGTAATTCTCAGAAGCAGCTTCTCGGAAAATGTCAGCGACAGGGTGTGTAAGAGAAGCCTAACACAAAGAAAAAACACATTCCTCTGTCTGAGAGGACTAAGGTGTTTTTAGACAGAAATTATGCACCTAGAAGGTTGTGCCATCCTTATGTGTTCCCTCTGCAATACAGCATGGAAGCTCCAAGAAAAAACAACACATGGAGCGGAGGGGTTGTGGGCAAGAAGTAGAAAGAGAGAGAAAATCAGGCATTTCATCTTACTTCACATTCTATACTGAGCACTGACTCTGCATATAGCAAGGACATGACTGAGTTACTGTTTGTTCCAATAAAGGTTAACTCAAGCTTTTGCTCTGAAATTTCAGAGTCAGCAACTTGGAGACTTCAGTTGCCTAACTTGGAGATTTAAACTGCCTAACCTTCCCCGTTTGTTTGACAGCCCTTTCTGGATGATGAATGGAAAGCTATAAACAGCATTTGCATAAGGATATCTATCTCCTTTGCTGGGAAGAAGAGGTTCCAAAACTGCCTTTGTAAGAGAAATGAACAACAGGCGATGGTCTTCTAGGTCTGAGAAAGCAAACAGACAGCACAGCTTTCTACTTTTTACAAGCCAGCTATCATCAGTCAGAAAGCAAGAACAAGTCCTTACTGTTGACACTGGAGCAGCATTCCTCTCCTCAAGTCCCCAACAGTCAGACTTTTGTCCCCAGCTACTCAGGCAGCATTAGGAGCGTCTAGCAACATGCACCTCCCAGCAAGGTTACCCCCAGGGCAGTAGCGTTCCCAGAGTCATCCCAGACTCAGTGACACACCAATGTGTTTCGTAAAGGGAGGTATCCAGGGTGTCTGCTTCACCCAGGCAAGCAGCAGGCAGTGATCAGTAGGTTAGCAATTGCCCTTCCAGGAAAATGTCTCTTCCTCCTCATCACAGATGCCATTTCACCAACTATAGGTTGGCAATGAGTACGAGGGCAGGAGATACATCCCTCGTTCACTGTGGAAAATGGGACAAGGTCTCCCTTTAAAAGCAGAGCCTTGCCAAGACTGCACAAGCCAAATAGAGGAGTTTTGCTGTATTCCATCTCCTCCTGCTCTTGCCTAGTTGCCCCAGTTCAGTACAGACACCTGCAAACTTGCATCTATGGCTCCTACTGATGCTCAAACTGTCCCCGTATCTTCCCTTAGTGAGCTGGGTGCTCTCCTGGCTCCTGCATCACCCCCCAGCAGCACTATGTCCCACACCATCTCCACAGAGAACACACAGACTGGACGGACAGTATTCTAATTCCTATTCTCATCAGCACCATGGGTTTTCCTTGGATTTCCTTCAGATGTATTACTAACTCACTTGCTCCTACTTTGCAGGGAGAGTGTAATGAAACTACAGCTTACTTGGAGAAAATATAAGAGTTGCAAACACAACAGCAATTCCCAGGTGTGTGACTGTGTTATGTGTGTACATCCAAGGCCAGAATCCAGCCACATATCTGAAAGTGAGACAGAAGCCATAATCAGGCTGCCAAGCCTTTCCAAGTCACAAACACAAACCTTTTGGAATGTGCCCCAACAAGCAGCTTTGGCCCCATCAAGAAGGACAGCAGAGACTGTCAATCCTGCAGAATGAGACATATCTTGTCTCCTCCCATGAGGTAACTGCTCAGGCTGAGTTTTCTCTTAGAGCCTGACCCCATGAATCTCAGGTCCTCAAAACTGTACCTCAAAAACAGTACAATTCCCAGAGTTCACTCCTGTTCAGGCACAAAACAATTTTGCATACACATCCCCGGGTGAATTATAAGGCACAATTTTATTTTCCCTCATTCCTCCTTCTCAGTCTGTACCCATCACAACATTGTTTCTGATGGCGAGGCTGTGCAGTGATTGCAGGAATCCTCGTGGTATGTGCAGCTTGTGCAGCAGCCAGCAGCAATGTCCTGGGCTCACAGGAGCTCACCCGGCGACTTAGAGCGCCACTGTCCTGAGCAAACTCCTCTGCAAGGTGTCACTGGGTGGCCCACCCAAACACTCTGAGCTCTCCTTCACTTGTCCACAGCATGACCAGTGGGGGCAGCCAGGGTGACCTTTGTGTCCATGGCCACAGCCTTGGTACCCACCTGCAAGAGAAAAGGCACCATCAGCTCAGCCAAAAGTGGGCCAGAAAATCATGGCATGTCAGAGGCTTTCAGAGAGTGCTTCAGCCCCAGAACTTGTCTAAGACAGGGAGGCACATGCTGATGAGAACACAGCTTATTCAAGACCGTAACTGCCAGGGCTCCATACAGAAAGGAAAACAACCGATGGGGACTTTCCCATTCCAGTCACTGGGGAAAGGTGAAGATTTTTGTTCCCTTGCCTGTTGAATAATGCAAGACACAGGCCTGCAGAACCCTGTGCCAGCCACTGCTAGCTGTGGCCAGAGGTAGATAGACATTAAGCACAGAAAAAGGAGGCGGCTGGTTCTACAGTGACACACACAAAACATACGATGATGCATGCAGGTCAAGGACAGGGCAGCTGGTTGGGATTAAAGAAGTAAGGGAGTTGAACTCTCATTCTAAATGAGGAGTGAGTCTTCTCCATATGACAGCATTGGGCACCATATGACACAGTCCACAAGCTCCCAACCTGCCAGCACTGGAACAGGAACAGTGTAGATGCAGTGCTGCTTAGCCTCACCGAGAAGGGCTGAAAGACAGAGCTGCCTTGTCCCATCTCCTGCAGAGTTGGCTCAGGTGTCTGTCTATGGCACGGACTACAAAGACCCTTAGCATGTCCCGCTGCATTTCTCACTGTTGCAGTCCCACCCTACCAGAAGATATGTACACATGGGATGCCACAGGGCTGGTGCATGTGCAAGGCAAGAGTTGGGCTGGAGTATCTACTCACACCTAGCTATACAAGGGAGAACCAAATGCAACAAACCTTCCTGACACTATCAGCATGAGGAAAGCTGAGCACTCACCGGGCATGGTCCCACCACAGGCACAGCGAGCAGCTTTCTGCCCTCCGCTTGAGCAGAACGTGCAACAGTGAAACACACCTTGGTGTTCACGGAATTTGCTTTTCACCATCACAGTGAACGGAGAGCCCTGCAGAGGACAAGCAAGGAAAGAGGCTGCTGCAGTGGATGCTATCGGATATTGTGTCTGCATTTTCAAAAACCAACCAAGTGATCCTGTCAGTCATAGACCACTAAGCCCAGTCTCAAACTCCTAAGCAGTAGAAGCAATCCTTAGACAGGTTTAAAGCAAATGTTTGGAAAAGCAAAGCAGGTAAAGAAGAAGCAGTGCAAGAGAAACAAGAACACTACCTGTACATCCTGTCCTTTCACATAGACGCAGATAGCATATAACCCTGGCTCCTCAGGGCTGTAGGAAATATGGTAGGTCCCATCACCGTTATCACACACTGTTGGCTTGACTGCACTATGAACAGAGAGAAGTCCCAGAGGTCAGTGACTGGCAGAAAATTGCTCTACCTGTGAACCACAGTTTGGCCTAAATCTGTGATCAGTTCCTTATCCTCAACCTTATTCAGCAGCTGTGAGTCTCAAGAGAGCCTAACAGGATGCATGAGCAGCGCTCAAGCACCAAGTATCTTTCACATACACGTGCTGCTAGGAGCTGCAATAACCATACAAAGGAAGTCACACAAAGCTAGCTGCACTGCAAGGATTTGTAGCGACCCTGAGCACACGAATGTGGCAAGACAGCACATTTGCAGGTCAGATTATCCCATCAGATAAGAGCCCTCCAAAATGGGGTAAATTCACAACTCCAGAGAGCAGTTACCTCCATAAGAGTCCATAAATATGACAGGACATAAACAGGGCAGGTTTGAATCACTTCAACCACTGTCCGAAACACAATGACACCAACTCTCTTCAGTGCTTTGAGTTGTTCTAAGTCCCTGTTGGTAAATTCTCCTTTTCCACAGTGAAGTTCGCTGAGTTTCACAGGGAATGCTGGTGGACAGAGTGCCAGGGAGAAAGCGTCACCCAGTTACTTAGGGACCAATTGCCTGCTTCACATAAAGACAGAAAGCGCTCTCCACAGACAATTACCAGGCAGCTTTGCACAAAGGAAGGTGTTCTACCCAATCTCCACTAATTAGTCTCTCATGCCCCATAACATGACAGTTTCTAATATTTGCAGGCCATATTCCCCACCCTCCCATTTCACATCAATATAGCTGCCCGCATCATTTCCTGCCACGAACTGTGTGGTGGATACTTCAAGTTCTTCTGTAGCTGCTGTGTCTCAACCCAAAGCCAGAAGACTTCCAGTAACTGATGTAGCAATTACATGTCCAAGAAATCGAGTTAATGTGGCCACAGCGACCTCTACCCCATCGAGCAAAATCTATACAATCCTCATGTGCACACCTTCCTGCGTCATATGTTCACCTAAAGAAGGAAGGTATATTGGAAAAGTATTCTTGAACAATGATGCTCTACTGATAAGCATCTGTGCAGCCAGCACATACATAGCAAGGAGTCAGCATCCTGTCCCTTTTGTTATCAGGTCACCCCACAAACAGCTTCCCTGAACAAGTTATGCTGGCCTCTTGCTCCAGCTACATTGTATGTACTATAAATCAGAATAGTGGCTTTTCTTAAGAAGGGATCCCCAATTGGTTCTGCACTTGTCCCTGGCTGCTTTGTAGTAACAAGTGCACTTGGGAAACAGCTGCAAAATATTTTTTTCTGGTTGGTCATTGTCCTTGTGGAAACACAGAAGCTCAAGTGAGGTCTTCCCTGCTTTTGCTAGAAAACATGTTAAAGTGCTCAATGCCTGCAAATACAGGAGAAAGCCTGAGAAAGTCCCAACACAGATTCTTTCTCAAGAACATGAACTAGAACTGTCAGAGGCTCCTGTGCTTGGTGCACTGTCTCTCTGATTTGGGACAGTCATTCTGCATTTGTGATGTTTTATGCTCGTTAGGTGTTAATAAAAGCAAGAGCCCTGGCTGTCCACTGGTAGGTGTGGGAAGGAGCAACAGCTCACTCTGACAATGTCTAACACCCACTGAGAGCTGAATGCTTTAAGAAGTCAGAATCACCCAAAGAGTCAATACAAATCTGAGCCAACACTGTCAAGCTTCACACACTCAAATACAACTAGTAGGAAGCACTGCTACACTGGTGGGAGGAAGAGCAATGCCTTTACCCCTACAGATTCTGACCCACATGCTGAAGCACACCCTCCCACCTGCAGGGTAAGGGAGACAGAAAGGCAAGCCCAGTGACTGTAGAGTTCTCGGGTGAAGTACCCACCAGTCCCTCTTGTCCTTGTGAGTGATGGTGACCCGCACGGCCTCTCCTCCTCGTTGCATCCGCTCCCCCATGGTGTCATTGCAGAGCAGGGTAAAGCCAGTCAGCTCGTTCTGACGGGCACTGTAGAGGTCTGCAAGGCAGAGAAACAGGACCAGAAAGGATTCACACTTGCCATGATTGCCACCTCCCACCTGTTTTGCAGTGTTGTAGTCCCATCAGAGCACAACCAGGACTCTGCTGCTGGGGTGGGTATACGAATCCTTCCACCCACAGGGAAAAGTAAAGACACCACTGGGAACCAAGAGAGAGTGGACAGCCATAGGCGCTGGGAGGTGTTGGGCAGGCCTAGCCAGGAGGTCTGTAAGAACAAGGGTGGTCTTGCTGCCCACCCCTCTGACCCCATCTGGCATCTTCCCAGAAGGCCTCAGGCTGCACCTTGCAACCAGAAGGGAGGAGGAACAGCCCCACTGTGCAGTGTGGCACCCCAGGGATATCAGCATTTGCAGTTTGGCATGGAAACAATCGAATGAGCCTGGGGTCTGTCTCATTGCCCCACACAGGCCATTACTGACTAGAGGTGGCTGTGCTCTGTGGGCTGGTCTGAACGTTATCTGTTTGCTGGTCCTGCTCTAAGTCCTTAGCAAGCAAGTATCCATGAAACCATTGATGCCAGTTATTCCCATGGCAATCTCAGCGGAAGCTGTAAGAGGAACAAACCTCCTCGCTCAGCCACAAAGGGGATCTGCCTGGCCCATGTCCTGTCATTGTAGGCACCATTCCCATCCCCTGAGGAAGCTGAGATCTTTGGCTTAAGGGTTGCTCTGCTCGCACTTCAGCCCCAAGCTGAGATCAGTCATGTTGTGGAGGGCAGTGCCAGTATGCTCTGCACATCTGGATAGGGATAGCTTTCTGGCTCCCTGTCCAGTGTAGCTTCCACAGGCCATCAGCAAGGAATGCAGCTGCTGGCAGGGCTCCACCTCTGTCTCTAGTCAATGCCTGGACAGCAGGGAGCCAGCACTGCCTTATGCTGCGCGCCACGTGGGCACAGAGAACAGAGAGGTGACTTCAGGGAGCAGCACGTTCCCATTCAGCTGTTGTACAGCACCCCATTACCTTTCCCATGCAGAATACATCTGGCTGGATCAATCACTTTATTGAGAATGGCCCCAAAAACTTCATAGCCACAACACTGCCCTGCCCTCTCCTGGGGAGAGAACTGGATCCCATCGTCCACGCTGGGGTGGGTGTTGTAAGCAATGCCATTCAGCTTTGCCAGTCGGTTTGCCACCACCCCTTTGGTGATGAGGATCTCCAGGTCCGAGCCATTTGTCAGCAAATGCTCGGTGAACTCCACGCCTGTTCTCATGTCCAACAGCAGCTGCTGCATCTGGGCCTTCTGCAAGTGCAGCAGGTTCTCCTTCTGTACCTTCATATCCCCCAGCTGCTTCAGCAGCCGGTCACAGTGCTCTTCAATCGCTTTCACATACCCACTGGCAAACAGACAGATCTCTGCAGACACAGTCTCCATGCGACTGTGGATGGCACTGCCCATGTCATCAATCCGACTTAAAACATCTTCTAAGGTGCCCATGTGCTGCTGGGTGCTTTTCAGCAGCTCCCGCAGGGCATCCCCATGCCTGTGGATGACATTGCCGGTGAAGTCATAGCGGTGCTTCCGGTGTCTGTCTATAACACAATCCCGGCACACAGGGTGATCACACTGCTCACAAAACAGCTTTAGCTCCTCCGTGGGATGGGAAGGGCAGAAGAGAGGCTTCCTGGCCTGGCTGCAATCCTTGGTGCTCTCCAGCTCCATCACAGCATGAGAGGCTGTCTTCTTCTGCCTCCTAGAAGGAAGCAAACACATGTCACTTGACGCAAGTTGGATATAAAATGCAAATTCCCGAGACCCCTTGTGAATGCCAGCCTGTGCAGACTAAAAGTCACAGTATGCACCACTCCCTCCTGTGTCCACTGAAATCCACTCTGCATGAAGGGGCTCACAGTCTTCTGAGGACAAAACTCCATGCAAAAGGGGACAGCATCTGCAAGCAGCTCATTAGAGGCTGCTCTCAGGCTCCCTGCATGTTGTGCACTTTCAGGCACAAGAATCACGTGGCCCACCACAGCCATGCATATATGGGGGAACGAGCTGTCAGGTTGCAACTGCCAGCAGCCCCTTCATGAAGTGGGATAGTTACAACTACTCCCAGAGCCTGCTGTGACAATGGCAGCAGGAGGGCGGTAAGCCTTGCAAAGTGAGATTTGGCAGGAGGTATCTCAAAACAGGATTGCTCACTGACAGTCGCTTCTGGAGAGGAATGGGAGGTTCCAGGCTCCTCAGCCAAGAGCCCAGTAATTTACACCAGCTTTAAATTTGCTGAGGCAAATGAGCTTTAATATCCCTTAGGGGAAAAATCTAGCTCAGACCACTGCCAGAAGACTGTGTGGTAAAACATTTAATATTTCAAAAATCAGACTCCATTTCCTCTGGCCACCAGGTTAGGTCCTGGTCAGAGGAGACCAAGGATGGGATACAAATAACCTGTTATGACCCAGATAACCACCATGTCACAGGGCACTGCTAGACTATTTCCATTTTATGCTATTTTGGACACTGGGAGCTAGTTACTGAGTAGGACGTTAAAGCCTTTTCTTCTTCCTTGTCTCCTGCACTAATGACTTCTGGCAGTTGCAATGGGAGCTCCAAGCCATAAGAAATACTCTGAGGACCAGGCTCTATAGAGTTGCTCTGGCAACACAAACCAACCTCATCACAGGGCAGGGCATGGCCCTTAGGGTACTCCTTTTTCTTCCCACTAACCTCCCTTGGGTCCAGCACATTTTCAAAGCAAGCATTATTTGCATAACACCCTTCAAATTCACACTTCCCTGACTTCAGCCTAAAGACCTCTCTCACTTATTCCAAGGAGCACAACAGCAGTACTCAG